GTGAAACACTACCACACCTGGCAAACACCGCCCTCAGCTCGTCCGCGGGGAAAGTCACCGGCACACCATGAACGCTCACATATTGCACGGCCCCCCAGGGATCCGAAACGTCAGCAGACACAGCCGAGGTAGAGATTGGAACCGTGCGGCCGACCCAGTGCGACACAAACTCCAGATACAACAGACCTGAGCTGAAGGACACCGCCACCTGAGTAGGAGAGAGCTTTTCCAGCCCTAATAAATCCTGAACGTCCACCTTGAGCTCATCGATGACTGCAAGTTCCACTAGCGGCCAGTCCACAGTCCCAGAAAAATCGAGGCACGCCGTGTCAACCTGCCTAACGCGGGAAACACCACCAACAACCATACTGCCTGCCGGGTCCTCCGGCCAGCGCGCACCACAACCCACACCCGCCTCCACGCAACACCAGGCAACAACTGGCAGGTCAGGTAAGCACGTCCTGACCCCCTGGTGGTCAGCGAGCGAATCTGGGTCGTTTGCTATAGTTGAGCTCATCAGTGTCTTTTTGCTTCTTAACAATGTATCAAATTGTTTGAATTTGACAAGCCTAAAATTTTGGTACCATCTCGTCGATTTATTTTGATTTTTCAGATTCATTATGGCCCAAGTTCAGTGACATGACACTTCTGTAGTCCTCATGGTGAGAGGTGACAGAAGACTCACAAAATCCACTTTAGACTTTTTATTACCTCTTCTCAGCACACACACTAACGAGGCAACGACACACAACTCACCATTAAACAACCGAGTGGCAACATGTCTAAATACTATAGGCACTCTACAATTTGTTGACTATGTATAAACAAAAGTTTCAATTTGTGTACGGGTGACTTAATGAAAATGCAAATTCCCTTAAGATAAAGGTGAGGATTTGCACCTTAATTTCAGAGGCATTGTAATATTTCCAGTCCAGTGTACTAGAGTGCAGGGACAATGGGACAGTGTGTAAGATAATATAATATTTTCCGTTAAATTTATTGAATTCGGCTTATTGAGCAACTGTGCCTGAGTAACACCACACGCGCATGCACATTATTTGTCCTGGCGGGCACTGTACTTTGGGTGATATTAAATCTAAATGTTTTTACTGATTTTTATTAAATAACATCATAATAAGTGTATTAGGATGGAAAAGTGTAGCACTCAACAATATAATCATTCTGTGACTAATTAGTTAGATATGCTTCACTTAAACATCACGGGTCTTCGTTTTAAATTGACTTGTATAAGTAAGGTAACGTTAACTTAATCACTCGTCTGCACAGTATCTTAACGACCATAAGGGCTGAATGGCTTCGATGGTGCTCGGTAGTTGTAGCCGGTGTTACAGGTGGGCTGGTAGGTACTGGTGGCCGTCACGGTGTTGTACTGCTGGTTGACAACTGTTGAGGTGACGTAGTTGGTGTTGAAGATGGTTGTGGTCTGATATTGGGTGCGGGTCTGGCCTGGCAGCTGCTGGGTGCTGACGGAGGTTCTGGTGACGGTGATATACTGGGTCTGGGCTGGCAGGTTGACCACAGATGGTACCACCTGTTGGGTGTAGATGGTTGTGGGCACCACCTGTGTTGATACCTGGGTCCTCACTACTTCTTGTGGAACGGTAATGGTCCTGGTAATGTACTGTGGCACCTGCCGTGTACTGTAGTAGGTGGAGACCACCTGCTGTACCTGGGTGCGGGTCACGTACTGTGTCTGGGTGTTGGTGACCACCACCTGGGAGTAGATGGTGGTGGTGACGGGAACCACCTGGGTGGAGGTGATGTACTGGGTCTGGCCTGGCTGGGTGATGGTCTGGGTGACGACGTTGGTCCTGACTACAGTTTGTGTATGGTAGACATCTGGGCCTGGTATTACCACGGTGGAGTAGATGGTGCTGTACTGGGTACTGTCTATGGTGCGGGTCTGTCCAGGAAGCTGCAGGGTGCTGGTCACATACTGGGTCTGGTAGACTGTGCTGATTACCTGCTGAGGAACCACCTGTGTAGAAACTATAGTCCTGGTAACTGTTGATGGTATTTGCTGAATGCGGGTCGAGTATACGGTCTGGTATTGAACCTGTGTGTTGACGACTTGTTGCGTCTGTGTGACATAGTTGATTTGGGGAGGTAGAGTGATGACCTGTGTGCGGACGTTGTCCTGGGTACGGGTGACGGTCACTGTCTGGTACTGGATGGACGGCACCACTTGGGTTCTGACGATCTCGGAGTAGATGGTGGTATAGACCTGCTGAGTGCGTACAGATGTCTGGGTGACGTACTGTACGTCAGTCTTGTAGACGGTGGAGGGGATGACCTGGGTGGAGTACTGCGTCTGTGTACGGTAGACGGTGGAAGGCTGACAGTTGTATGGTCGTGGTGGAAGGTAGCCGCCCAGAGATGACTGGTGATTAAGTCCATTGCCTTGAAAGTCTCGCCTTGGTCGATCCGCCGAGGCTGCCAGGGCACACCCCACCAGCAGGGACAACACCAGGACGTTCATTCTGCTGTAGAAAATGTAATGTCAGTAAAACAATGTTTGGCTTGTCATAACGTGAATGATAAATAATCTAAATCACAGCGGATCTATGAATTCAATATCCAAACAAAAACTATCGAGCAACTTACCAGTGCTTGTTACCTGTTCTTTTCTCGAAGTATAGACCATGCCAAAAGAAAAATGTCTAATATTTGTAGAGTAAAAGTATATTTAAGGAAAATACAGTTCTGAGGCATTGTACATATTTTAATAAGGAATCAGCACATGTTGCTGTCGATTAGCTAGAGTTATCCTTGCGGCACGTTACCGAAACTGGGTAATGCGTTAATAACCTGATGGTTCACGAACTCTGGACTTTGGGTATCAAGTTATCTGTCGGTTATCCTCTGATATTGTATGGACGAACTGGTTTCCGATAATTGTATCCTGTCTTGCCACAGGTGGCTGTAATGGTCTGTGTGACGGTGACTTGTCGTGTCTGCTTGACTGTCTGGTAGACGACCTGTTGTTGCTGCTGTGTCTGAACCACCTGTTGGGTCACCACGCGGTCCTGGCCAGGCACTTGGACCACCGAGGTCCGGGTTTCCTCACGGGTCTGGACCACAGGGGCGGGGGTGATATATTGGGTCTGGACCACGGTCTGCACCAGAGTGAAGGTTTGAACTCGGGTCTGGTAAATGGTGGTGTAGATGGTGTTGGGCACCACCTGGGTTTTCACCACCTCGTGAGGAACCACTTGGGTGCTGACTTGAGTCTGAGTGACAACGTTGGTGCTGGTGACCACTTGCTCGAGGGTAGTGTAAGCATTTTCGTAACGGGTGTTGACAGAAGTGTAAGGGATGACTTGTTGACGCTGGACCACGCTCGTTCTGACAACATCCTGCTCGCGGTAGACGCTTGTCTGTACCACTTGTTGCACGCCAGTTGACGTCACGTAACGCGTGTTGGCCGGCTGTTGACGCGTTACGATGGAGGTCTGAACCACAGTCCGGACCAGGGTCTGTACTACGTCACGGCCGGGGATTGACACGACTTGGGTCTGCTGTCGTGTTTGAGTCTGGTAGTTTGTGACGAGCTGAGGGACTGTCTGCACCTGTGTGCTAGTCACCTCAACAGGTACGACCTGTGTTTGCACCTGTGTGCTGGTGACGTAACTGACCTGTGGCACTACACGTGTTGATGTGACATAAACAACTTCCTGACGTGGTGGGCTTGGAACAGTTTGTGTCACAACTCTGTTATTGAACACGGTGGTTGTGCGCTGGACCACACTGGTCTGGTACTGGACCTGTGTCTGAACGCGAGTCTGGAAAAGAGTAGTTGGTACGACCTGTTGTGTGACCAGGGTGGTGGTGGTGTACTGTGTGTTGATCTGGGTTATGGTCTGGACATTAATAGAAGTCTGGACGCGAGTGTCGTAGACGACCGAGGTAATGGGTGCAACCTGACAGGGGATGTTTGTGGGTGGTGGTAGATAACCGTTGTTGGGCGGCGGATAGTTGTAGCCTCCCTGAGGAGTGGCCGAGGCCAGGGCCACCACCAGCAGCGTCGCCGTCAAACGCCACATCCTGCAAAGAGAAATGCCACAGGTTAGAGCAGCGGTGATTGGAACCCCCCGCGTCTCGGCAACTCATTTGGGAATAAAGTCCAATCACGCGCCGCTCCCTCTGTGCAATTTCTCTATGCTTTGTGGGCTGACCCGAGAGGACTTTATCGCCCAGATGAGCCGCGAGGCGCTGACCTGGTGGTTGCTAATTACTAATAAAAATATCCAACAACGAATATGCATTCCATTTCACATTAGCTTTTCTTCGCAATCTTATTTACCCGTTTTTTATACATTTTATTGGCAGTTGCTTCCTATATTATCAGTGACATAATAATACAGTTAGCTTCGTTTTCGAATCACAAAGAGAAATCCTGTGTTCAATTCCCGGGTGGGACAAAAATGGTTAGGCTAGTTTCCTTTCACCTAATACACATATTCACTCAGCAGTAAATAGACACCAGACTGGTACTCAGCAGTAACTTTCCTTAATTTCCTCTTAATATCACCTTTTTGTATCCAATCATATGTGTATCTATGTAATCGTGTATAATAAAGTAAATATATATATATATATATATATATATATATATATATATATATATATATATATATATATATATATATATATATATATATATATATATGTAGACCAAGTTGCTGCAACAACACAACACGACAATGCTCGCCTCACAGCAGTAGCAGCCCCACATTCAGGGAATTTCCTGTTAGCTACCCCAATGTTGGCAATTGGCACGTGTCTCACACCACACGCCCTCCGAATTGTTATGGCCCTCCGCCTTGCTGCCTCAATCCACACCAAATATAGGTGTATTTGCAGCGAGGTGGTGGCCGACAGGTACGGCCACCATGGTCTACTCTGCCAAAGCACAGGGGGATGGCACTAGAGGCACAGTGAAGTTAACGACATAATCAAGAGGAGCCTCACCACAGCTGGATGCCCAGCTGAAAGAGAGCCCCGTTACCTAACGCCCCGTAACTCTGATGCTCTTATTGGTTGCCTAGATGGTATCACAGTGAACCCCGGGAAGAATGACAAGTAGTTGGTATGAGACTACACGTGCATATCAACCCTGGTTAACACCTACATTGACTTCAATGTTGCACAACCAGGTGGCGCTGCCACCCACTGGGAATCAGCCAGATCCCGTAAGTACAGAGAACTGGATCACCACTACAATTTTGCCCCCATTGCTTCTGAGACACTCGACGCCTGGGGTAAAAGTGCTACCAGTTTTTTTGAAGGAACTGGGTTCTAAGCTTATTGAAACAACAAGAGACCCTAGAGCTGCCAGCTTCCTTTTCCAGCGCCTCAGCGTGGCAATACAGAGGGGAAATGCACACTGCATTCAGGGTTCCTGCCCGCCATCTGAGGAGCTGGAGGAACTCGACAACTTATAATAATCATCTTTGTACCCTATATGTAACTCCTTTTTTGTAACAAAGTTTAAATAAAACAAATATATATGTGTATATACAAAAGAATGGGGGTGGTAGGAGAAGAAAATATTAGTGTTCAGTGAGAATCCACAAGGTCTTCTCTGGGTACTCTTTATTTTCTTCTCCGAGGCTACGGGTCTCCACATTTGCACCAAAGGTGGTACCCCTCACATCTTGTGTGTGTGTATATATATATATATATATATATATATATATATATATATATATATATATATATATATATATATATATATATATATATATATATAATATACATACACAATTTCTTTAAAGTCACCAGCTGTTTTCACGTCTCTTCACGTATATATGGTGTTGTTTTCACTGCTCACCGAGACACTGGTATTGTAGTCTTTGTTCACTTCCAGGGAACTAAGTCACTCTCGCGACGAGACCCTCAGGCATTTTTCAAATTTCTTTCCCAGGCATAAGTGACTATTTTCTGCCTAAAGGTTACACACGGAGCGGTGTTGGGATACATAGGGTAGGCCTGAGGTACACATGGAGCTCTGGGATACATAGGGTAGGCCTTTCCTGTGTACACATGCAGGACTGGGACGCCGGGAGAGACGTACCTGTTGCAGGTCGAGGAAGATTCACCAACGGGGGAGCCGTCGGGGAGGGGAGTGATGCGAGTCTGGCGAAGTAGCGCCCGCCATTAACTATATATACCGACGGCGGTGCTAGAGAAGGGCTTGGAGGAAGGACGTTGGCCGGGGGGAGGAGGATGGGAAGGGAGAGAGGGCTAAGGGAGGCGGCAGCAGCGACATCTCATCATCATCATCATCAACAACAACTACAACTACAAGAGACGAAAGTCCTGATCATTATGGGGCTGTATTACCAACAGTTACCGTAGTGCGTCATGTGCCGTGCGACTCCTTCCGCTTCACTACCTCCCCCGGGTCATTTATTACATGAAAGTTTCCTGCGAGTATTTATACATGAGACGGAGCTCCCAGGGGAGGTCTCTAGTTTCAGACCATGACCTGTGAAGGACTAAGTGAAGACATGCAGGAGACGGTAGACGAGATGAAGAGGCACTTGGAGGTACTGTAGACACCGAGTCTACAGTCTACAGTGTTTTCTCTGCAGTGTAGAGAATGAAAGCTGTTTCGAACTAGACAAAATCTCACAATGGAGCTTAAAAGAGGCAGCAGAGGTAATGAGCCATCCCATTACTTTTCTTTTCAACTCTACATTATAAACAAATGGTTGTCAGAGATAGAATGCAGCTAACGTGATGATTTAAAATGAAAAAGTGACATCAGGAGCTCGCTGAACTGTCACTAACCCAGCAGGGTCCAGGAGAGAGACTCGTGCTGAACCAGTATGGCTCAAGTGAAGGTAAATAATGTCGGATATTTATGGATTCTTCGACCAGAAGACAAGAGAAAACGGGATGAAACTCTGTGTGTATTTCTTGATCTCCAGAAAGCGTTTAATTTCATTGTGCCCACAGGGCTTCTATACAAGCTTGAGAGGTGATGCCTCTCAGGAAGGAAACAGAGTACCGTCAAGAGAGAGAGAAGATAGTAGTTGGAGGTCATGAGTGATGTGTGCAGATGCTGTACACCTGGTGATAGGTAGAAGCGAGGAAGACTACGAGAGGGATCTGGATGCACTGCAGAAATGGTTAGAAATATGACTGGTGGACTTCAACATGGATAAATGCAGACTAATAAAGATAGAATTTTGAAAAGAAGACTACAGGGGTAGTGCAGTCTAACAGAGAAATAACTAATGGTAACAAAAAAATAGAAAGATCTGTAACTTTATTCAGCTCCAAGCCAGGCACCTAAATAATACATTACCAAATATCTGCAATATAATTCAAGTTGGCAAAAGTAACTTTCAGGTACTAATATAAGGAGTCTTCACAACATCATATACAACCTACGTAATACCATTACTTGAAAATGCAGCCCCGATCTGAAGTTCCTACATAAACGAGCACGCAATAAAACTAGAGATATTT